CCAGTCGCATCATCTGATGACGAAGGGGAAACAGTTTGCTCTATATTCTCTGTGCTGTCTTCGGCAGCTGGGGTGGCAGATGAACTCTTTGTGTCCTCTGTGGCTTCAGCTTTATAACTGGCTGAGTGAGGTTCTGTTGAAAAAGTAACAAGCTCTTCAACTTTTTCTGCCTGAGCCACTAATGAGTCACTTTTGACAGGAGTGGGAGTCCCCCACGATTCATCTCCCTCATCTTGAACAGAAGAGGTGGTTGATTTGATGACTTGTGCTTGACTTAAAGCATCAGTTATTATATATTACATTGCAAATTTTTAATAATATACTGTATATAAAATCTTGTTTGTTTGAAAACAAACAATATTTCTATCATCTTTAAGTTATCACACGTGTTGTAGCCCAGGAAGCAGACAGTGCATGTTTGCTGTAGGTGGCTTCACAGACTGATAACCTAGCCTTGCTAATAAAACAGCCTTTAGCATTAGGCCTTTCCTCCCAGAATCTCTCCACAATATCACTAACAATAGAGGTGGAAACATGTTACTAAGTTCAACACATACTGTACTAATGGTCCATGACTCAGCTTTGCTTGTAAATAGAGTAAAACCCTTTTGGATGATCCAGGTCCATGTGCTTGTTAAAAAACCTTTTATAATGTTACACTTCAGTCTAACTTTACTCTGCACTATTTGAAAGTGTGTTTCAAAAACAGACCAGAAACAGCTGAGGAAGAGACAAACCCTGAACCTGAGCTGGTATTCACTTGTAAGAAGTGTACCAACCTTTTAAAATAGAATTATACTATAAGAAAGAGAAATGCTACTGCTCCAATTCATTACCAGACATTAAGCAGTCAGGGAAGAAAATCAACCTTGTTGAGGGAACACATACTGCCAATCTGCTGGGCTGACTTAAACCCCAACAGAAACACAAACAAAGTCCAAATCCCCGCTTAGAAGACTGGCCACTTTATACACTTGTATACATTCCAGTTCACTAGATATGTTCCCTCTTAACACAAATTGCTCTTTGATGACAAGTAATGAACCACCGATATTAACCGTTGCTGTCAATGTACATGTTCACTTCTCTTGATGCACGTATGGTGTTTTTAAATATGTTTTTATAGACACATCATTTTAATCAGAAGCATATATCTTCTCACAGGTTATAAATGACACAGTTAATACATATTATTTTCCCAAAAAACCTCAATAAATGCATGTGGCAGCAGCAGCAGACACATAGAACCACGGATTAGAGTCTGACCCGCTTTAAATACGCACACAAAAGCTTAATGTGCAACACTTGGCCCAAACAGAATTTTCTTTATCTTTATCTTAATTTTTACTCCAAATACTATTAGATATCACAACTGTTCACACTGTCTTTTGACTTCAGCAACCTGGACAGCACAACCTCCCGTAGCACCTTTTTCTATTGTTACCATAAAACCACAATAACATATTGGAAAACAACAATGCACATGCTTATTGTTTTATAATGACTGCACAATTATGTAGCATGTTAAAAAAATAATAATAATTTCCTTACCTGTTAGATTCTGCATCTGCTTGATGGTGGATATTTGGACCAACTCATCTGCAGCAAATGTACTCGGTTTTATGGTTTTGTGAGCTACAGTTGAAGACACAGGAGCAGATGTGAAGAACTCTGGTTCAATTTCTGTCACTGTGTTGTCTTTTGTCTGGCTGCTGCTACTGCTGCTGTGTTCAGGAAGCTGATAGGTGGACTCATCAAAAACACTTGTAGAAGATTTGACATCTTCAGCTGACATTCCCCCTTCAGTCAGAATAGCAGCCATTGACTCCTGTTTGTCAACAGATGTACCAACATCCTGACTTTGGGTTGTAGTTGTTGCCACTCCTGGTGGCTCTGTTGGGTGGCTTTCATCGCCAGGTTCTGTGTGGCACATAAAAGTGCTAGGTGAAATAGTTGTAGGTATTCTTGTCCCATCAATAGTACCAGTGCTGTCTGGAGAGGAGGATGAAATGACCTGTTCAGGTGGGTGAGTAGGTGGAGTTCCTTCAAAAGCAAAAATTGTTTCAATGTCATCAACACTGGGATCATAATCTGGAAAGGATCTGGTTGAATGAAGCTCCGTGAGTGAGTCTGTTGATTCAGACAAGATGAAAACCTCCTCAATTCTCTGTTGGTCTGTGGATTCTGCTGGACTGTCAGTGAGGTCAGAAGTGATGGCTGTGGTCACCCCAACACCTAAAACAGTTTCCTCAGTTTTCCCCTCAGCAAACATGGGCTCAGTGCCCACAGAGGCATCGGTGAAGGGGACATCAGGTTGAAGTGTAATTATTTGAATCACTGAGTGATCATCTGGTTCCTTTGTAGTCTCAGAGACAGATGCCATCTTATCAGTATTGTCTGCTGTGTATTTAAGGTCTAGGTCTGGAGCAGCTGTTGTGTGATCACTTTCCTCATGTTCTTCCGTGATTGTGGGTGCGACTGTGGTAATTAATTTTTCTTCTTCTCCTAGAGTGGAGCGTGGTGGAGCCATACTGGCAGAGAACATATATATGACAGTTGAGGAAACTGTAGAATGTGGAGACTCATCTGCCTCTGATACGGTTATGGGGAGTGTTGAGATACTGCTCTCCAGTAGAGGCCTTGACGTAGAGGAGCTGATGGTTGTGGTGGTCATTTGTAAGACAGACATGTCCACCAAGAATGTTTGGTTAAGCAGATCTTTCGTTCCTGTAAAAATAGACAAATGCA